TGGGCCCCTCCCGGCCCCGCCTCCCGGAGGGATGGGCGTGGCGTCCACTGAGCCTCTGTCCATTTCGTCCCGCAGCCACGTCCGAAATGACCCCCAGGCTTGACCTTGAGGTCTCTGGCCTGTCACTGTCCTCTTAGGACGCTTTTACGCTCATTTTCCTGACCCAGTCGTTGTGTGACTCGAGCCCCTATATCTGCCCGTTCCTGGAGCAATAAAAAGTGAATAACTATCTAAGAACGATGCTATAAATTAAAAAAAAAAAAAGCCCTAGCAGGTTTTGGTCAGTGGCTGTAGCTCGGCCCGTGGACTAGGTTCAATTCTGATCAAGGGCGCAGACCTAGTTTGCAGGCTCAATCCCCCGTCCTGGTCAGCGTGTGCAGGAGGCAAGCAATCCATGTGTCTCTCTCACACCATGTTCCTCTCTGTCTCTCCCCCCCTAAAAATCAATGGGAAAATATCCTTGGGTGAGGACCAACAACAACAAAAGGGATGCTATTTCCACCTGTGGCCTGCAGATTGTCTCCTTCACTGTCTGTGATTCTTAGCCACGAATGACTGAATCCACAAAGGGCTTGAGATCCCTTCTAGATGCGCTCGATTTTGAGTTATAAAGTGTGGATTACATGCCTTTCAAAAAAAAAAGATCAAACTACACTACGGAATATGTATAAAGTGTAATATCAGAAGAACATCAGAAGGGGGTGCTCATCGGGGCCAAATGAGAGAGGTCTAAAAATATTTTGGATTTGTCACCTGCCATTTTTATGGATAATGTCCGATCCGAGTTTTTCATTTTAATGCACAACCTTTTTTTCTTTTTAAAGTACAATAAAATAAGTCATTGCAAATAGCCCTACTGTGTTTACAGATGGTCTTCTCTCATCTCTGTTGAGACAGCATAGAGCAGTGGTTCTCAGCCTTGGCTGCACATTAGAATCACCTGGGAATCTTTTTAAAATCCTGATTTCTGGGCCTCATCCTCCGGAAATTCTGTTTCTTTGTTACTAATGTTGTGGCCCCACCCCATCACAAAGACACAGAATTTCCGGAGGATGAGGCCCGGAAATCAGGATTTTAAAAAGATTCCCAGGTGATTCTAATGTGCAGCCAAGGTTGAGAATCACTGCTGTACGGCTTGTGTGTAGCTGGCTTGGTCATTGGACTGTTCTGGAATTTTAATAGAACCAGAAGTGGATGCCAGCACAATCAACCTGCCCTAGTCCTTTCCGAAGTATGAGCGCAGATATGCTGAGGCAGGTGATTGAAGTGGAGGCCAGATTTGGCACAATGGTCATCAAGATCTTTTAGGCCAGCTGGAAATTGTCTTCATCAGCTTTAGAATGATTTGGGGGTCCTTGTGTCTTTCTCTTTGTTGCCTCCTCCTTGACCCAGACACCTTCTCTTTGCCTTCATCTCTGAATAGCCTCTTTAAAAGATATACTGAGGCATATGAAAAGCTTTAAGAATTTAGAAGAGCAAACGTCTATTCCAATCTGAGTGTCAAACTGAAAGTGGTTAGGCGTGCTCTACCAACATGAAATGGGGAGAGACTTTCATAGAAAAAAAGGTGGAAGCAAAACAAGGAAATTATTGATGGGCTGTGGCTTAAAGCATAATTGGCTGTTTGTGATTGGCTGTTCTCAGGTTTGGATTTCATAATCTTAAAGGCATTTCAGGCTTAGATTTTGGTTTGCTTCCTAGGATGCCACAGGATTAGAGCCACCTCGGTCTCATGGCCTCCTTGTTTAATTAATTTAACACTTCCTTGTCCCTCTCTATCCAATGTTTCTTAATAGCATTTGAGAGTGCTCTTAATATGTTAGGGCAAATCATAGCAAGATACAAAAATATATAAAAAGTATAATGTCAAATGCTTTGTTTTATTACTGTGTTCCTAAAAATAAAAAGCATAAAGATGTGCAGGAAAAGACTGACATAAATACTTTAAAATACTAATATTATGTTTGGTGCGATGATTTTTATACTAAATGCTTTTATGTATTTTATAAAATTTCTGCAGTAGGCTTTATAGTCAGGAAAGAACAAAAAGATACTTTAAAAGTAACACTCCAAACATAATGAACTTGTCTCTGGCCATAAAACACTACCTTTTCCACAGCTGTGTCATGCTGTGAGCGGGGTGTTGTTTCTCTCTCCTGTCAATCCCTAGCCCGTTGCCTTCTGTGGCTCCTAAAACACGCTTTTCATGATGTCATCCATGCACTTACTCTCCTTTGCCGATCTTCCTCCATTAGGTTTGTTTAACAAAAAACTTTGAGACAGAAAGTTTTCCTGAAAGAGCGGATTTATTGAGCTACTTACCAGCCAGGAAAGGGCCAGGTTCTGAGTCACACAGTCTAGACCAGCTGCCGGGCTGGATGGAGGAGGCAGACGTGCCCATTGTCCTGGGGTCGCCAGGGCTCCGTTATACAACGCGTTTGAGGAAGAAAGATGTAAGTTGCTTTGAAAGGATTTACATTGTCTCTAGGTAAGGGGGTGGCAGGGAAGAGGTAAATCAAAGAAAGTTCTAGAAAGTTCTGGGATAGGGGAGTCGTTTGTAAGGAGGAAGTATTTGATGCTTCTGTGTCGGTTGTGGGAAACAGGCCAGAAAGTTCGAGTGTAAGCAGGATGCTGTGGTATCTGGGGGCAGCTGTTCTTTCCAGATAGCTGCTTGAAGTCCATTCAAGGTTTCAATGCATTCAGGAAGGCTGGTGGTCTTCTGTTGGTTTCAGCCCCGACTGTTCACTGGTGAACCTCCCTTACCTCTTCCTCCCACCATCCAGCCCGCTGTCATTTCAGTTAGGGCATCTCAGAATGTTTCTCTTCTCAGGTTAAAAACTCACAGGAGGTGAAAAAATGCTGAGTAGCTCCTGGAATAGCCCAGTATCTTTGCACAAAGTAGATGTTTATCAATTCCAGCCATGCCCTTTGCAGTTTATATTTGACTAGAGGCCTGGTGCATGAATTCGTGCAGCAGTGGGGTCCCTTGGCCTTGGCCTGCAGGATTGGGCTGAAACTGGCTTCCTGACATCCCCGAGGGGTCCCAGATTGCAAGAGGGCACAGGCCAGGCCAAGGGACCCCAACAGTGCACAGTCGGGGCTGGGAGGGTCACAGGAGGTTGGCCAGCCAGGGAGGGACCGAGGGAGGGCTCCAGGGTGTGTCCGGCCTGTCTCCCTCAGTCCTGATTGGCCGGACCCCAGCAGCAAGCTAACCTACCGGTCAGAGCGTCTGCCCCCTGGTGGTCAGTGTACGTCATAGCAACTGGTTGAGCGGCCTTAGCATATCATTAGCATTTTATGCTTTGATTGGTTGAATGGATGATCAGACAACTAGACACTTAGCATATTAGACTTTTATTATATAAAATTATTGTATTCTTTGCTTGAATATTTTTTTACTTCAGCTTTTGTTTGCAATTTGCTCAATAATATTCCTTCAATATAATCTACTTGTTTAAAGTTCAAATGCAGCCCTTTCGACACTGGAAATCACCAGCCTGACCACTTTGTGGAGCAGCTACACTGAACCGACTGCATTTCTGCAGCAAGCAGAAACCCACATGCTTCATTTATGGACTTTACCTTCACCTAGGTTTTAGAATTTAAAATTTGGTTGCTTAGCCTAGCCAGTGTGCTCAGTGGTTGAGCATCGACCTATGAACCAGGAGGTCATGGTTCCATTCCCTTAATCCCCAGTATGGGGTGTACAGGAGGCAGCCAATCAATGATTCTCCCTCATCATTGATGTTTCTATCTCTCCCTCCCCCTTCCTCTGAAATCAATAAAAATATATATTTAAAAGTTGTTAGTTTAGGTGATACCTTTACCTTCCCCATGGCACCTGCCTACTATCTCCTCTACACAGCCTCAGTTTTAGGAAGATTTGTAAAAATCAGTCTTTCAAATTCTGGAAGTTGGTAAAATTGGGAAACATTGATAATTATCCTCACTTTCTCCTACCTTCCTTACTAATCACTCTTCTTCACTCCCGGGACTTATTTGAAAGTCCCAAGTGCTTTCTGCCGGGCCACATCCAAACCTGAGGTGTCTGTCTCTACTGAGGTGAAGACTGGAATGTTGGGATCAACATAGACAGACTTTGGGTTGTGACAAAGAGCCCTTCCCCTTCAAGTTACTCAGCTTTCATTAAAGAGTCCTCTCAACAGCAGTGTCTTGAAAAGGTTGAAGTTGTAACAACGGACTAACTGAAAAGTGGAGTGTGGAGTAGACAAGTGACCCAGGTCCGTGCCCACAGAAGTGATTGTACGGCCCTTCACATCATCTGCATGAAAATATTTTAACTTTGTGTTAACAAATCATGGTGACTTACAAGTGTATGACTATTCAACTTTATTAAGAACATTATAAAACAGTACATTTAACAAAGGTGTGTTTATGATTCACATAATGTGTATTACATTTTTCTTGCCTCGATTTGACTGAAAGCCAGGCCGTTATCTTCCTATAGGCACTTGACTTATACTGTATGTTCTTTAGATATGGAGTTCCCTTAGCTGGCAACATCGGAATATCTGTTGCCAATGCACTGTTACAGGGTATTTATGACATTGGCTCATAGTAAACTTCAACCTCATTCCATGGAAGAGGGTGAGGTATTGGGGATGTATACAAAATCACAAAGACATTTCCAGTCAAGCACATTTTAGCTACTAGCCATTCCATTTTAAGTAGCATTACATGAGGATTCAGGAAGAGTTTTAAAATATTTGCAAATGGGAAGAAAAGGGTCAAAGGCTGAACTGAGCATGAAACACACTGTTAGTTAATTGAGCGGCCCTAATTAATTTTCTCCACCTCCAGCTGTAGAGGGGTAATCAATAGAAAGCAAACCCATAGTTTAAGCCTCTGTGGAAACCCAATTTGTAACAGAAAATAAATTAAGGGCTTGTTACTTAAGGGAATTCATTGTATGATATCTGTCAGATAGCATCTCTCTAGTGCACTTTAAATCTGATTCGACATCAGGGTAAACACATATTCCAGTGATAATGTCTTTGCTTAAAATAGACCAATTTTAGGTTCTATCTTTGGGTATTATCTTCAGATGTGTCTATGGTGCATCCTCATGAATGTTGGTTTGGTGACTCATTTAATCCTCGGAGAATAGATTTTTAGGGAAGGGGTAGGCAGAAGTCAAGTGGCACAGCTGCTCTGTGAATATTGGCTAAACGTGGCAATCAAAAAAGTCATCGCGTTTTTATTTTAAAAAGGCTAAGAGACTTTATTGTATGTCTCCTATCTTGAATCCATTTTACTATATATAACTAAGTCTACAGCTCCTTCAACATGACTTGTCAGTGTGTGTAAAGTTCATGAGGGTAATTTCTAGAGAAAAGGTGATTATATGGGTACAGTGTGGACCTACACTCACCTGCAGGTCAGCGCCAACAAAGATTTATTGTAATCTAAGCAACACAGTGGAAAAGAGGCAACCTGATAAACCAGATCTTGTCAACCCAACTCTGGATCATGAAAAAATTCTATTTTGAAAAATACAAACTATTAGAAGTTAGGGTTTAATTACAGTAACATCCTTGTTTTGTTTTGTTTTTTTAAAAAGGATGAGTCAATAATGTGTGGGCGTTGTGAATACTTTTGCTATCGAAAAGCTATCAGGAATGACTAAAGAAGATCTGTACTTTATTCAACTCTGGATCATGAAAAAATTCTATTTTGAAAAATACAGACTATTAGAAGTTAGGCTTGAATTACAGTAACATCCTTGTTTTTATTTTTTTTAAAAAAGGATGAGTCAATAATGTGTGGGCATTGAGAATAGTTTTGCTATCGAAAAGCTATCAGGAATGACTAAAAAAGATCTGTACTTTATTCGTGAGTGTTGACCCACTGGATCAAAGTGCTACTTCCCAGTCTAGGTTTTACACATGTTTCTGGTACCTCCATCCTGGCAAGTGCCCCTGCTCTTGCCTCAGCCCCATCTTAATCACTGCATCCTATTTGCTGAAAAGTTATAATGATGAACTCAAAGCTTCAGGGGTTCCTGAGAGCTGCTATTAAATTAAAAACAGAGCTGCCAAAACTCTTTGCAAATGAGCTCTCTGATGGGAACGAGTGTTTCCAACCTGTACCAAGAGGGGAACTCTCTTTTAGGTGCCTGGGGAGGAGTGATAAAGGTGGTGAGTGTTTTAGACAAGGTCACTTGGGAAAACTGTTTTGTGTTTGATTCTTCTGAACCCCTGAGTCATCCCACATTATTGCCGTATCTGTAGCATGATTAACAATGTAACCAATAATTTTTTTAAAAAAAATACAACATGTAGAACCCTTAACTCTAATGTTCCTCACATCATAACAATACCAGCTCAGCTACAAGTTTTCCCCAAAGTGGAGCTGGTCTAGTCCTCTATTCACTTAGTTTCAAAGAGCAGAAAGCCTGCGAAGGTGGAGAAGCGTTGGTGGTCCCCGTGAAGAGCGCCGTTGCCCATCCTCAGCCAAACCTCATCTCCTTTGGCCAGCTTCAGCACTGCGTGGTTGCTGGACGTGTCTGATTTCCCCTTTGTCTCGTAGCTGGAAAGAAAAAAAGGCACCATCTACTTAGGCTTTGCAGTGGGCAGCCTGCTCTTTACCAAAATCTGCCCTCCCCTTCTCTCTCAGCTCTCGTGCATTTAGGGATAGTCCTGGGATTAAGTTCTTTCAAGGACGTGTGAACAGAAATGGCAGGTGCCGCCGCTAGAATTGGCCGGTGCAACTCTCAGGAACACCCCAGCTTGATCCTTCCTCATTATGATTGTGTGGGATGCTAAGGACAATGACCAGAATGGCCTTGGAAGTTGTGTGTTGAGGCCTGAGTGCTTGAAGACTGTGTAGAGGAAAGCTCTCTATCGTCTGCCACACCCGGAGCAACCACTCTGGATTGTCCCATGAGGAAAAAAGGGGTTTCCGTGGTGGCCAAGCCTTTACATTGGGCCAATGTTGCAGTAGTTTAGTCCACCCTGGCTAATTTAGAATTTGGTATTAGAGGGAGGGCTGCCAAACTAAAATACAGATGCTCCTTGATTCACGATGAGATTATGTCCAAATAAACTCATCTTAAGTTGAAATATCCTAAGTTGAATCATTATGTTGTACATCTGCAATGAATATAATTTGTATGCCAATTATACCTTAATAGAAAATTTTTAAAAAATTAGCTGTTCTACCTAAATGGATTGTTTTTGAAGGTCTTCTGGTAGCCACCATTAAGTTGAGAGATAAGAGTATGAGAACAAGAAATCAAGGAAATAACAGGCTGAAAAACTGTCAAGAAAATAACATTGGATGTGGTTTATTAACATAGATAACTGACTGGTAGCAAATAGATCAGAAACCTACATTTCTGAGAAAATGGGATTACCACACACACACACACACACACACACACACAAACAAAGAAACAAAAAACTGGCCTAAAAAGATTTTGGGATGTTCAACTAAGTCCTCTTAGCCTTCAAATTGGCATGAGCAGAAAACGGGCTGTGAAAGACCCCCACGGAGAACCTACTCACCTTTTAGATATGGCCCTGGAGACACACAAACAAGGAAGACCCTCCCAGAGGACAGCATCAGGGGCCAAAGGGACAAACAGCCCAGAGACTAACTTGAACAAAAGGACTCTTCATCCTCTGAGATTGTGGGCTCTTAGCTGGATATATTAACTGCAGTTTAGGGTACTTCCCATGGGGGCAGAGAGGGGGAGACATGTATTCTAAACGTGGGAAGAAGGGTTCAACAGATCATTCATAGCCAGAGAGGCAGAGAAGCCTGGCTGTTCACCAGACTTCACGGCCCCTCCTCCATAGGAGCTGCTGACATCCTTGCTGTCTCTGGTTGGGTAAAGTTAGGTGGGGAACCATGTGGCACAGGTCTCTGAATAGAATGCCTGATGCCTAAACATTCCCACAAGCTTGCTGCGCCTTCCTCCTTCTGACTGTGACAAAGACAATGACCCGCGAGAATTTGGAAGTCAGTTTTAGGGAAGGCAGAACTGCTTTCACCAGACTATGTTTTCAAAAACCAGGCAGAGCCCACACCCACCTCCCAACCTCCACACACCCCGTCCTTCTCCCTTTCTGGACCTGGTCAAGAAGAATAGAGTCGTAAGGTGTTCGAGCCACTATATGCTGTATCTCTTTGTTACAGCACCTTCATCTAAGTGACTCATCTTTTTCTCTTTTGGCATTTCAGATATCTCCTCCCACTGGTGGCCAGGCTCCAGAAGAAAATGTGCAATCCTCACAAGTCATCAAAAAATAACAGGGAAGCACAGCTGGCGTGGCTCAGTGGTTGAGCATCAACCTATGAACCAGGAGGTCACAGTTCGATTCCCAGTCAGGGCACATGCCCAGGTTGTGGGCTCGATCCCCAGTGTGGAGCGTGCAGGAGGCAGCCGATCAATGATTCTCTCTCATCGTTGTTTCTATCTCTCTCTCCCTCTCCCTTCCTCTCTGAAATCAATAAAAGTATTTTAAAAAATAACAGAGAAATGATAACAGCCCCAAAGTTTTCCATAGATAACTAACCAACAATTTAATTGTGCGGAAGATGTTAGCTCTTCGCCTCTTTCCCACATCCTATGCTTACACCACAGCAAGTTGAAATATTTCTTTTAAAAATAATTTCCTCCTCAAGGAGCCCTAGTGCCAGGTTGCTAAGATAGATATCAGAGCAACAGCATGGCCAGGAGAGAAGAACCTACTCCAAGCTTTCAATCCATCAGCCCACAGGGACGGTAGACAAGGCCATCCATGGGGCTAAACTCTAAGCAAAAGGGGTGGGAGAGTAGGAAAGCATAAGGAAAGAATGAGAGGGAAGGAAAGAGATGATGAGTTAAAAAAAGAATACCAATGACTGGTTATGGGGAGCGTTGCTAGTAATTAATTCATGGCCTCTTAACCTGTTTATGCCCAAGTTCATCAGGTTTGTTTATTCCAATTAGTAGTTATAATCTGGCCGCACACTGGTGTGTGGGAGCGCTCAGTAATGGCAGGGTCCACATCGGCGTCTATTGATTCCTATCTAGTCCCTGGCCTTGGCCGTCCTTTGAGCAAACAGTGGTGGCGTGGACATTACCTCCGATCGAGGCCACCCACCTGTACATGCTGAAGACCGTGTTGCCGTTGTGCATGAGGTACACATACACCTCCTCCACGTCTTCGTGCTTCATCATGCTGAAGGTGAAGAAATACACACCTGAAAAAGGCAGGTGTTCAATCACATTTATGTTAATGTATGGTACATGGATGACCACGAGACAGCAGGGAGATATGCCCCATGACTTCCCACTTCTTTTGTGGATATTCTATGTGGTCTGTAGGTTCCTCTGGGCCCTTATTTGCATGCGGGCTTCTTTATCTGCTCTCACCTTCAAACTGCTTTAATTTTTTTTCAGACTTTCCCAGTGTGTACAGTGTGTGTTCAAGGAAAGAGTCGACCTCATTTTGGCTGTATGTCGCTGCCTCCTCTTACCCCTGACCAAGTGTTTAAGGCAAGGTTACAGAGTACAAGGTACAAAGTTCCCAGGTACAGGTTAACCATCTTCAACACCCACCTCAGCACTCACATGGCCAAGGCACAGAGCCCTGAACAACAGACACGTGGCCTCCGTGGCCCAGGAAAACAAACCCGTGTAATAAACAGCACAGCAAATGAGCACACTCGCCACAGATTTAGCCAAAAATAAGAAATACTGTAACACAGATCAATGTGGATCAGCACTAAAGAAATAGTCCCAACGACTTCTCACAATAGACATTGTAAGTAGGTGAAATTACGCACAATAAACAGAAAGAGGCAACGTGGACTCAGCAGCATAAACGTGCTCCTATCAATATGAATCCTTCTCATCTGGAAAAGGCAAACATATTTTAAAAGATACGAATGTCTTTGTAAGATTTCAGGGCTCCTCATGGAACGCACCTTAATTTAACCTGATACATCCAAAATGCCAGTGTAGACAGACAGTACCTTTACTGGGTGATTAAGAAGAATCCAATCATAGGGAGAGGGGAGAAAAGGAAAACCTCAACCCCAGAGCGCCCTAGGTTTGAGAGTGCATTCTGGAAAGATGACTGAAGGTCAAGCACCGGGCTCTCTCTGATGTCCATGCTACATTTTTAAACTCATGGCCACATGTTAGTTTATTCAAACTGCTGTGATAAAATACCACAGACTGAGTAGCTTATAAACCATAGACATCTATTCCCCATAGTTCCAGAGGTCGGAAGTCTGCAACCACAGTGCCCGCCTGGTCAGATGAGAGCCCTCTTCCAAGTCGTGGACTTCTGCTTGTATCATCTTTCGGCAGAGGGGCCTCTTTCAGGAAGGCACTAATCCCGTTCATGAGGGCTCCACCCTCAGGATCTAATCATACCCCAAAGGCCCTACCTCTGAAAGTGATCCCTTTGGGCATTGGATGTTCAATGGAGGGATTTTGAAGGGATGCAGCATTCAGCCCACAGCAGGCTCTGGAAGAGAAAGCCCCAGAGACATCTAAAACCAGCCCTGCATCGTTTTAGGCTCTTTTCCAAAGGTGCAATCAAGTAAGCTAGAAGCTGTAAGGGTCCATGCTGGTGCACCTGCTTCTGAGTCAAGTGGAACCAAATAAAGACGTCTGATTATGCTTCACTTAGTGCAGGCTCGCATACTCAATGCGCTGGGATTAAAGGAAGTAGCATACACATCAGCCATGTCCATTCATACTCCCAGGTGGTCCACAGGTGAAAAGCAGAGAACTTAAAGAAAGTAGTGTATATGTGTTCAGTTTTTTACATTTTACAAATCTTATTACACACACACACACACACACACACACACACCAATTTTCAGTGCCTTAAGAAGATAAAGCTGGAATCAAAGGACAGGAAAAGATCTTTGTTTTCGTGAAAAAAAATGATGACTACTGTAATAAATAAATGGCAGAAGCATTTCAGAGAGAGCAGACTGAGGAACCGGATGGTGAATAATAAAATCCCCAGAGTTGAAAATACAAAAATGAATATATATATTATATCCATACATGGTGTTTCCTCCGAGAACGCACTTGTACTCTGGTTTTCAGATGTTTCTGTAACTGCAGAAATCAACCTTCTTTGTCTCATCACTCTCAAAGACGAAAATCATAAAACAGTCACTTTGCAATCTATTGAATGAGGCTTAAACAGTAATGTGGGAGTCAAATGACAGCTGCTATTATCAGAATCGTATCTGATAACTAGAGTTCTAAATAACTACTAAACCCTTGAGCTTCCATTACAAAGCCATTGAAAACAATGCAACTATTGACTGGGCTTATCTGGGTATTTATATAAACTGTGGCACAGATAGTGCTTAACAAAACAGTTCTAGGATAATTATAAACTGAACCTTCAGAGCAGAAACATCACAAAAGACGTTTTAAAGCCGATGGAAGCGTGATGAAAGATTGCTTCTATCACTTCCTAGGACATTCACGTCTGACTTTAGCTGGGTAGAAAAATAAATCGGGGCGCACATTAAAAGCATTTGCAACAAGTCTAACATGGTCAATGCATCCATCAGAATTTTTGTCTTTTCCTTCTGGATACCACATAGAGAAACAAAAGGGATTGAAAAGAAACACCCAGAAGTATCCATTTCCCGGAAAGCCAAGAGACAAAAACAAATAAATAAATACAAAAAAACAATAAACTTTAAAAGTCCCATGGAGGTGTCAAGGGGGTGGGGCAAGGGGGTTTGAGGAGGCCATATAGCACAGATCTCAATCAGTGCCAAGGAAAACACACTCCCTGGTGGAGAAAGGCCGCTCTGCAGGACAGAGGCTCACAAGAAGCTCCTCCTTGAGCAGAGCTGAGATGAAGCAAAAGTTCTGTTTGGGGGGAAGGTTGCTGAATAAGGTACAGAAGGCGGTTTGAGGAGGCCATATAGCACAGATCTCAATCAGTGCCAAGGAAAACACACTCCCTGGTGGAGAAAGGCCGCTCTGAAGGACAAGAAGCTCCTCCGGTGAGCAGAGCTGAGATGAAGCAAATGTTCTGTTTGGGGGGAAGGTTGCTAAATAAGGTACAGAAGGCATGGAAAGCAGCCCTGCAGTGGCGGATCCTAGAACCTGCCAACAAACGTAAGATGTCCACACACAAGAGAAGTGGCAAGTGCCAGGCTGGGTTCAGAAGTCTCGCTGGACCCAGAGCAGACTGGGGAGGCAGAGGAAGTGTGACCACACAGGGGAGGCACAGAGGGACTGAAACAAGAAAAGCAGTGGGTCCCCTGACAGCAGGGCAGGGAGCCACTGAGTGACCAAGCCCGGAAGGCTGCCGGGCCCATCCTCACCCAGAAATGACTTGCATGTAGCGAGTGGGTCTAGGAAAACCCAACTCATTCAACCATCAGTTCACTTTAAAAACTAGAAAAGCGCAGCAACAATTACCAACAGGTGAAGAATACTCACCAAGAGGAGATGTTGTTATGCAGTCGATGAAAAATGTAACCAAGTATTCCATTATGAGTATAAAATATAGCAATGAAGTAAATATGAAAGGATCATGAAGCTATGCAGGAATTCATGGTAGAAATAAATGGCCAGACAAAAGAGGGAACTAAAAATCGCGACATCATGACGGTGAAGAATACTCACCAAGAGGAGATGTTGTTATGCAGTCGATGAAAAATGTAACCAAGTATGCCATCATGAGTGTAAAATATAGCAATGAAGTAAATATGAAAAGATTATGAAGCAATGCAGGAATTCATGGTAGAAATGGCCAGACAAAAGGGGGAACTAAAAATCTCAACATCATGATTAACATTAAGACATTTTTTAAAAAATCATAGAAACAAGACAGAAGAAATTGGAAGTAAAACGAAGATACAATTAAGAACATTCAGGATAGAAAGAGAAGAAGCAAACAACATGAAATGGAAATGAAAAGCACTGAAAGATTACAGAAAATAACAGACACAGAAGACAAAGAAAAGTTAAAAACAAAGCAAGCAAGGCATAATTGGAGTCCTTAAAGAAGTCAACCAGTGGTGTGCTAAGGTGCACTGCGAGGGGTCAGGGAGGGGAATGCTTGTAAAATACTCCTACAAGGGAGTATTTTATCACTGACATTGTTTAAAATGGCTGGCCCGTGATGATAATAAACTCTAACCGACTTTTTATTGGTTTCATTATAGTTTTAAAATATTCTCTAGACCATCTACCTCTTATTACAAGGTTTCTTAACACAAGTCTGACTGCTCCCACTGCCACCCCGCCTTACTACAACAGTGAGAAGAAAAACCAGCATTTATATTTTAAAAAGTAATTCAAAGAAACTTTTCTGGACAAAAAAGAAGGTTTAAACCCACATATCAAAAGGGCACAATAAAGAGAGGAGAAGTTAACTCAGAATGACCAACACTTATTCTAGAAAAATCATTGGACTTTGAAGTTAAAGCAAGAATTCTTTGGTAAGTCAAACAAAATGATGAAGTTACTTATAAGAGAGAAAAAAAATTCAGATTTATTTCAGAGTTCTTTGGGCCAAAGGCCAGGAGACAGGGGGAAAAGAGCTGTAAGCCAAGGTTTTTACATGCAGCTCAAGTTACCACAGAGTACAGAACATGTGAAGTCCCGGGAATATTGACGCCATAAGCCTTAAGAAAATAATTAGAGGCTAAAGTTTAGCTGGTAAAGAGATGCCTGGGAAACTCTGGCGAAATAACTAATAGTGAACATTGAATATAATCAATTACATGATCAATCTAAACCAATAACCTCGGATTGAGAGGCACTAATCTAAAATGTAACCCTCCCTTCCAGCCTCCCTGCCTCCCTTCCTCCCTCTCTCCCTTCCTTCTTTTTTGATTGGTGGAGGGATTAATTCAGTCATTGATTTAATTTTACATCTCACCTGATACTGGGGCCCCAAATCTTCCAGTCATGACATCAAAGAAGTTTCCAATGTTGGTCTCAACGCTGCTGAAGATGATGCCACTGTTCTGGTTGCTGAAGTGAGTGGCCAGGGAAGCCATGAAGGCGATCTAAGGAGAGGGTTGGAGGTTACTTAACAGACAGTTTATTTCAAAGAAGTAGGTTTTTATACAGGTCAGTTTAGTTCAGCAGTATCTGTAACAGCAAGATGGGAAATCACTCGAACATTAATCTGTGGCAAATGAATTCAATAAATCATGGTCATTTCTAACATTTTTATGCTAGGTAGCCACTAAAATGATGGTAAATATCAACAGTCTGATCATGCATTTCAAGGAACGTGAGACTTCAAAATGCTGTTTGAAATGTTAAAATTCTATTATCAAATCATATTGAGAAAATTTGGATGAAATCTTCTACTTATACCTATTAATCGCACCTCAGTATATTAAAGATTTGAGAAGCCCTTAGCCAGGGTATAAACACTCACAGCTTTGGGGTCAGAGTTGGCTTTGAGAACATCCATCTTATTAGTTAACTTTAATCTTGCCAAGTGGCATCTGACTCCTTTTATTGGTAAATGTATACTGGCACGTGGCTCCCAGGTTGCTAAAATTATTCAGCAACATTCATTAAAATGTTACAAAACCACAAAAGCAGTTAGAGTAACACACAGGACCTCTTAGTTTACAAGGCCCAGAAAAATGATGGAATTTATCCACGGTCAAACAACCACTATCTATGCCCAAATAAAAGGCAAAGTTTTCCCCCATTGATCTTTCAGACAGTTTATATATTCGAGTTGTCAAAACCCTTTTTATTTAGCACTAGAGGCCCAGTGCACAAAATTTGTGCACTTGGGGGTGGGGTCCCTCACCCTGGCCTGCACCCTCTCGCAGTCCAGGAGCCCTTGCGGGATGTCCAACTGATGGCTTAGGCCTGCTCCCCGCCGTCAGTTGGACATTCCTTAGTGCTGCCACGGAGGCGGGAGAGGTTCCTGCCACCGCCGCTGCGCTCACCAGCCATGAGCCCGGCTTCTGGCTGAGTGGCGCTCCCCCTGTGGGAGTGCACTGACCACCAGGGGGCAGCTCCTGCGTTGAGCGTCTGCCCCCTGGTGGTCAGTGCGCATCATAGTGACCAGTCATTCTGCCGTTTGGTCAATTTGCATATTAGCCTTTTATTATATAGGATAGCTTCAAATTTGGAAAGTGGGAGATGAGCTGACATTCAGGGTTGCCTTGAATTTGGTCTATTGAGGGAGTTGGGTTTCACCCTTCAAACATTTCCTGCTCCCTAAGAATGGCTGCAAAGCGCTCTGAACAGCACAAATCTCCTATGCTAGAGATGAGCGAACTGAGACTTGGATTTCCTCCACGCTGGTGCCTGAGCCTTCTGCCCAGGACCAGGAAGCCCAGGACAATGCAGAAGTCACCCGGAGGTGCACCGGGCACGTACCTGCAGTTCCGGTGGAACCCCCGGGTAGCCCTTTTCTCCTTTGGGGCCGTGCTGCCCTCGCTCCCCTCGTGGCCCCAGGTCTCCTTTGTCTCCTTTCTCACCTTTGGCCCCTTCATGGCCAGTGGCTCCGTTGTTGCCATTGTTTCCATGGTTTCCTTAAACAATCAGACATCGTCACAGGAGAAAGCCCCATCACTCATACTCACCATCTATTCTCATACACACACAGCCCCCAAATGTACAAACTCAGTTGTAAAGGGGGACCACTTGAAACAATCCCAGACACAGCCATAGAGGCACCATCAAATGGGGTCTCCTTTAAACAGGACACTCTTAAGGCTCCAAAGCCTGTTTTTCTTATAAAACAGGACTTAGATGAAAAAAAAAAATGTGTAGAAGACTGATTACCAAAGCATCATTTATGGTAGCAAAGATTAGAAACCACCTAAATGTCCCCCAATACTGGAAGGGATAAACTTAAAAAAATAAAAAATAAAAAGATACAACTGGGAAATGATGTTTTATAGTCATAAAAAAGAATGCTGAACATGAACAAAAGTAATAACATTAATAATATCCATTATATTTTTAGATAGAAAGGTTATCCATCAATAGAGATAGCATGATACTATGTGTGTGTATGAATATATATCACATATGTGTGTGTGTGTTATACCTGAAGGGGGAAAAGACTAGAACAAATTACATAAAAACATTTATAGTGATTTTTTCTAAATGATACTATGTGTGTGTATGAATATATATCACATATGCGTGTGTGTGTGTGTTATACCTGAAGGGAGAAAAGGCTAGAACAAATTACATAAAAATATTTATAGTGATTTTTTCTACATGGACAGAACATGAGTGATTTTTGTGTCATTCTACATACTTTTCTGTTTTCTTTCTGTGTGTTTTTAAAAGTTTGGGCCTCTAGTTTATAATAATTACCAACAGATAAAAACAGTAGAGTTCTTTCTTGTTTTATCTTCTTGACTTGGAGGGATAGCATTAATCTCATGGTCATGTGTTTGGTCAAACAGATACCTTCAGACCTTCTGGATAAAGAATTTCTGCCTATCCTACAGGAGGAGCCTCTGCCACCGTTGGCTCTTGTACCCTTTACAGAAGAAGAACAGGTTTGTGCCTAGCTTTGAGCCTCAAGTCAAACCCTTGTTTCTTTCCAGTGAGGCATAAAAATAGGTGGTTACTACTTAGACTCTATGGAGTATACTTCGTCCCCACAGGCCTGCTTCCTTTTTATGTTTTCTTGGCATGTGGATGCTTGTCTTACTTGACTAGATTCTGCTTAGATCTGAAATTGGTGAGTATTATGTAGAGATAAGGAAATGTTTCTAGATCCTTAAGGACATTGGGAACCATCCTTTAGAATTTATTCGAATAGAGAAAAAGTTATTTTTTGGGGGGAGGTCTTGCTTTTCAGAAAAATACAGCTTTTGAGAAGTAATTGGCAACCTGAATTTTCACAAGTAAATTCTACCATTACAGAAAAATGTAGATTTTTAGCTTAAAATGTGTTTAAAAATACTCTACTGTCGCCATCATTAAAAACAAAAAAAGTTTTTGTTGATTTTAGAGAGAGATGAAGGGAGAGGGAGAGAGCGATAGAAACATTGATAGAGAGAAACATGGGTTGGCTGCTTCCTGCATGCCTCCTCACTGGGGATTGAGCCTGCAACCTGGGCATGTGCCCTGACTGGGAATCCAAACGTGACCTCCTGGTTCATAGGTCGATGCTCAACAACTGAGCCACGCCGGCCAGACAGATATTTTCTCATTTTAAATTTGGTTACATTCAAGAAGCCACTCAATCTTCTTTAAAAAATTAAACCTAATTTCATAGAGATAGCATCAATGGGGTAAATCAGGGAAGAGCAAGAAGACGTTTTCCAAACCCTGAGAAAAGGTCCAACCCCAGGAATTAACCTGGAGAGAAGGAAGACAACTAAACCCCTAGAGAGGGCTGGAAGTTCTAGGATGGAGAGGACCTGGGCTTTCCCTGTCTGGCCGAGGACACCAGCAAGTTATCCAAACCCCACATGCCTGGGACACCACTCAGTAGAGTCGGGGTGGATGAATGGTGGGTCTAGAGAGGCACGGTGGAGCTCTACAGCATTCCCTGTGCCCTCACATAGTGCAAAAATGTTCCCATGAGACCAAGAGAGCCATAAAAGGCAACTGAGGGTGGCTGAAGGCCAGGGGAAGAGAAATTGAACTGAATTAAGAATCTGACAGAAGGATGGGTAGCTCAGTGAATGGCCTCATGGAGACACCTGTAGCCTAGACCAGGAAATCTCCTCTCCTTCATACTCTCCCTTCACAAGTCCCCGAAAGTTAGATACAGTGCATCACATGAACCGCACTGTGGCAGCGACCTGAAGCCAGAACATGTCCCCATTAAGATCAGGTAGTTCCCCACGCCATGCTTCAAACAGAATCATAAATAGGATAGAGGTTATGCTGCTCCAGCTAAACGGTCTCTATAAGCCCAGTCTACCCACTCTCTTTTGGATTCTCCATGCACACACTTTGGATCACACCCAAGCATCTCAGATTATTTGGGTTCACCCCCTGGCTCCCATTCTGGCACAGTCAGCAATTAGGCCAGCATGGTGCATCTCTCCCATCCTCACCTGGAATGCCAGGGGGGCCAGGAGGTCCAGGCGGCCCTTGGTAGCCCCGGAAGCTGTAATCTCCATGGCAACACTTGCTGCAGTCTGGGGGCCCTCCTCCCGGCGATGGAGACTTTAAAAAGAGACAAAGAGAAGCTTCAGAGCAAGGTAATAGGACTTTTGAATTTCCTCTGGCCTTCCCTAGGCAGCAAGTTTAACCCCAAACAACACACAACAACATCAGAAAAGATGGGGTGGGGAGGGGATGTCAATGGCAAAGGAGTCAGGGGTAGCTAAGATGAACCAAAGATCAAAGGGTAAAGGAACCAAGAGAATCGATAGAGGAACACGCTCTTTGGAAAGGAGTGTGAGGGCGGCTGAGGGTGGGGTGTTGGGCAGTATCCCTAGAAGTACTTTTTCGCTGTTACTCATGACAGCAAACGAGGAAACTCCAGAAACCCCCCTTTTTCCCCAGGAGCCTCGGATGCAGCTAGATTGAGTCCATGACCCCCAAACGAGAATTATCAACTTTTTACAGAACATGTGTAAGATAACTGCTAATACTCCTTGTTATTCATGGCTTGTGCAAATATTATGCTAGATGACAAATACAGAAGAATGAGGCAGAGGCAAAGCTCAGATCATGATAGTTCACAGGGTAGAAGATTCAGAGTGGCTTTTTTTTTCCTCCAGTGAAAACCATCAGACCTGACTGCCTTCTGCTTACCTCCCCTTCCCTTTTTTGGGGAAAAAAATCAGCCTCAACTCAGACCCCAAGAATGAGGCAGAGGCAAAGCTCAGATCATGATAGTTCACAGGGTAGAAGATTCAGAGTGGCTTTTTTTTTCCTTCAATGAAAACCATCAGACCTGACTGCCTTCCATTTACCTCCCCTTCCCTTTTTTGGGGAAAAAAAATCAGCCTCAACTCAGATCCTGTGGTTATGGCATTGGCCCCTCCCCAGTGGTCAACAAGACAACACTGATACCGAGACTGCCTAGGAATTAGCCTTCCTCGCTCCGTGAGACCACATTGTCTGACCAAAAGGTTGCCATCAAAGCATACTTCGGATTAATTTATGACCAAAAGGGGAAACTGTGCACAAAAAAAGGGGGGAGGGGTGATTTAGAAAGTAACTTCACAGGGTGATCTGATCATAAATTCTAAATTTCTAACTGGGCAGGTCATGGTGAGTAGTCACACCCCAGGCCTGCAACTTCTTTAGTGAAAGGTTTTAAATTGATTGTTCTTGTGCATCTAGGTTAACATACTAGCACCTTCGAAATACCAAGGGTATATTAACCCTCAAGAGAGCATGTAATCTTATTAACTATCCTGAAATCCAACCCCCACCTTGCTCTTTCCAATCTGCCTTATGTCCTGTCCTTAATTTCAAGTGCATAAAAGACGCTGCAAACCTGTTATTCCCAGGATCGTTTGGATCTTGCTCCCTGATGGTGTCCTCAGTTTGCCTCAGATAAAGTCATTTTTTAGAAAAGAATTATCAACTTTACAGTTATTAAGACTATGTTCGTAATATTGGGTTAAGAGTTTTTAGAAATTCTCAATTGTAACTCTAGCTTTTCAAACAGCCAGAGCACACTCACATTACCTTAGGGAATCACAGAAATGAAGTATCCGTTAGTCCAATACATTTTTATGGATTACCTCATTTTAAGTTTAGTTTCATTTGAGAAACCGCTCAAAGTTTTATTTCAAAAAATTAAACTTTGGTTGATAAATATTAACATCAATAGAGATAAGTCAGAGAAGTCGTTTCTCCGTCTTGAAACAACTTTAACTTCCTCTTAGTAAGTATTTAACATGATGTTCTGTTTTGTATTCCACTTCAAACTTTAAAATGATTATCACATTGCTTGAACAAATATTTAATGAGTTCTTAATGAATACTAAATGTGTTCAAATGTGACACTGAGTTAAATGCCTATTTATTTAAAGATAAAATTCTAAAATGTGTGTTTTCACTGCAAGGAGCTAGAGATCTAGGGGAAGTTGATCGGCAAAAGAGTTTGAGTTGCTTATAAAACTGGAGTCTCATCTAAACTGGAAACTTGCCTTTTAATTATGTCATACAAATACTTGTGGAAACTTTCCTAGACACCAATTGTAATTTGGTGGTTTCTTGAAAACAGCATATTGTTGCTAAGGGATTCTTTATTAAAAAAAGAGGAATTTCAAAAGAAGAGAGAGGGAGATAAAGAGGGCGAGACAGAAGGGGGGAAAATGTAAAATTCACATTTTATAATTAGAAATTCAAGCAGAAAAGTGGATAAAGTCTTCACAATGCTGTACATTTAGACTTCACTTTTTTTTTTAATAAAAAATGGGCTTGGATGCCAGCCCGGTGTGGCAAGGTGGTTGAGCATTGACCTATGAACCAGGAGGTCACGGTCAGGGCACATGCTGGATTGCAGGCTCCATCCCCAGTGTGGGGCATGCAGGAGGCAGCCAATCGATGATTACCTCTCATCACTGATGTTTCTATCTCTCTCTCCCTTTCCCTTCTTGTCTGAAATCAATAAAAAAATATTTTTTTAAAAATGGGCTTGGACTTTTCTCTTACTCTCTCATTCCTTTTCCTAAAGGTTTCCACCAAGCTACTCCTGGCCGATGCAGAACAGTGTGTGTAGCCCAGGAATTCCCCACAACAGCTCAGAGCCCAAGTCTTGAGTGATCAGGCGCTACCATTTGGAATTAACTCTCAGTCTACTTTTCAGTCAACCAGACCCAACTATGGACAGGTATGAGAATCCATGAAAACCTGTTGTAAAACTGGTGGCAAAAAAGATAATCAGCAAAAGTAATTGGTCTGAGACCAGGGCTGTCAGACACTTGGAAAGTCAGACACCAGAGCACCGCCCACCTTCCAACCCAGAGATGCACTCTGAGGAGAAAGTATTCCTTCATTTCCTGGTATGATCTTGCTAATGGGAAAATACGGCTCTTTGAGCTCCAAGAAATCCGGTGCCAATAATGGATTTTAGAGAAGAAGGGAGTGGAAGGAGGCAAAATCCTGATGTGGAACAGTTTGTTTATGAATAGAATTGAAATACTGAGAATGTCAGAAAGGGAATATCAGAAAGGCGACTGGACTGGAGCCTGGAAGTCCCATCTCAGTTCTGTGTGACTTCAGGGGAGTCACTATCCCCCAGACATCATTTTTCCTCTCTACTACATTAGAAGATTGAGTAAGATGGTCATGACTTTTTTTTCCAGCTCGAAAGATGCAAACAAAGATACTAAAGTGTTTTTCAAAACCTGAAATAATGACTTAGAAAGATTTTGTTTTTAAAGTCTAGTATCTAGGCAAGAGAAGTTAAGTCCAGGAGATGGGGTTGTTCAGTACCAGAGCTAACTAAACTGGGGTGCATGCCTACACTGCTTGGGGTGTTTTGAGAGCAAAGAGCCGCCACCAAAACAGGGTGGGTCTTCCGGTCACTACCTCTTGGGCACCATTCGAAGAGCCCTCCTGCAACATTTCACATGTCCCTCCCTCTGGCTGGCTTTCAAAGCTCAGTCAAATGGAGCAATGATCATGAGTCTTTTGATGGACTTGTAGAATAAGGTGGACAGAACATGTTAATTAAGACGTTTCCTCGTAGGTAAAGGCGAATTAGGTAGTTACTGTCTATCACCCTCTTAAGTTTATCAATCCTTTTCCCAAAATTAGGTCCAATTTGAACACCAAGGACATGCAAATGGGCAGTAGGGGAGGAAGGTGCCCCTAAGACAAGTTCTGCCCATTTTGAAGATGGAGGCCCCAGAGCAGCTCTTCAGAAGTCAACTCAACCAACAGTAAGTAACTTCTAGGAAAGGGAGTCCATAGCTTCCTCTTTAACCCAAGTAAGAGGAGCGAGAAAGAAGGAGAGGGGAAGTAGGAAGAGAGAGAGGGAGAGGGAGCGATGTCTAGAATGGGAAGGGGAGACTGATACAGGTGCATGGGGAAGAGCTGCAGAGAAGAAAATGCCAGGGAAAGAGTCCAGGTCTGCTCACCCTCATCTCTGCACACTCCCATCCACGGACCCTTTGGGCACAGTCATTTCTTAGAGCCCAAACCTGATCTCCTTACTGCCCTGCTATGAACAAAAAAACATACTTTTGCTGGCAAAGTACGATCTAAGCTCCTCAACCGGCCAACAGCATCCTCCAGCCTGGCTCTGAAACCACCCCAGGTCTTCCTCCCGCTTTGCCCGTGGACAGCCATCCTTTGGTTTCATCTCTGAGATCCAGCTCAGTGCCCACCACTCCGACACTTTTCCCCCAACTGTCTCTTGTGCATTGAGTTGGTCACATGGTATTTAATTATCTATTCATTCATCGCCACTAGAATGCTTCAGAAGTGATCAGAAGTGGGACCTCAGACGTGTTTATGCCCATCCTAAAGCTTGGCACACAGTAGAGGCACGGGAAATGACTGGTGAAAGAATGAATGAGGAGACAGAAAAATTAAAATAAAAGAACACAGGACAATCCTAAATTCAGGTGGGTTTCCATATCCATGAGCAGAAGAGTTGCTTTGAAAACGTCTAGAATATCAATGACTAGATCTCCTCAGTATCTCCTGTTAGTGGTTTGTTTGGAAATCTATTGGAGAGGCAGGGGAGTTTGAAAGCCCCTGATTTCAAAAACAGGCAGAAAGTGACTGATCTGATTTCAGCCTGCTAAATGCCCAGGGGGATAGAAGGTGGGGTGGGGTAGAAATTAATTTGGACTCCAGTGGCCTGCTGGGTATCGGTTACCCAGAAATAATGACGGATGACAGTCTCCATCTGCTTTCTACTGCTGCTAGGGGCTCACCCTGCCAGAGCCAGGAAGGATCCAGCAAAGATCCCATCGACTGAAATAGAAAGTCCAGGTCAAGGCTTGGACAAAGGGAAAATATCTTCCCCGCAATGGAAAACACAGCTTAGCATCGCTCACCCTGCAGCCAAAAGACTGTCAGACAAGAGACAACCTCTAAAACGCCTTTAAAAAGAGGTTGTATTTAAAGGTCATCGTTTCTTCTGCGGCTCCTTAAAGACGCAATTTTTCCTTGACACGGCCCCAC